CGGGGTGCCCCGCAGAGCTCGGGGGCAGCCCCCTCTGGATACGCGCCGACGCTTCGTCCCCCGGCTGCCCAGGACTATCGGAATGCTCCGTGGCGCTCTGAGAACGAGCCGCCCAGGCGCCAGACTTGGCGCGGGCGCGATGCCGCGGGGCCGCAGACCACGGACTCTCCCACCCCGTGGGCGCGGAGCCCGGATGGCTGGAAAAACGACAGGTGGGGCTCGCGCGAACAAGGCGGAGGTCAGCGACGATGTCGCCAGGCCCCCCCTCGAGTTCAATCACTTTGCGGCTCGACTGCGACGGCTTGGGGCGGTTGAGCCGCCGCGAGGCAAGGGCGCGATGCACTTGCGTCGAGCGCGCGGCGAGCCAGTCTGCGGCCGGACTGCCGGGCGCCGCTGTCGCCGACGCTTTTATAGACACGTCGGGGCGTGGCTCAACGCAGGCGCCCGCCCCGCCGCGCGCGCGCGGCCGGCCAGCCCCTGCCGACCATTAGGGCCGACCTAAGCTTAACGGACGCGTCCCCGCGCGTACTCACGGCGCAGAGGACTACGACCCCATGTTCACTAACCCCGAGAACAAACCTGAGCAAGAGGCTTCATGAGATGATGAGGAACGACCGATCAACGTCAACGCCGCGGGCGGGCGTCGACGGAGCAAAAACAACGGCGAATGATCCGCAGCTTGGACGGCGAGGGCGGAGAAGAGCAGAAGGAGGGCGAGAACGACGAGGGGAACGAGCACGACGAGACAGACGGCCCCACAGTCGCCAGAAAGGGGATAAGTCAGGACGGAATTCGCCACTGGCAGCGAGAGCTGATGCGGCGACCGCGAGGTGGGTGAAAGTCACGACGTCGAAAAAACTTCCACCCTGGGCGCGAGCGGGGGTCGCGGGCGCCGAGCGCGGGGCGGGCGCGGGCGCGAGGGTCGTCGGAGAGGGGCAGGGGTCAGCGCGACGTCGGGGCGACGCCGGTCTCCGCGAGAGGGGCGAATGTCATCGCTCGGACTCGCAATCTTCCAAAAACCGACCCTGGGTCGTCACGTTGTCCGCCCGGGCCGGGTGCGAACCAGCCCCGCCCTGCGCCAGAATTCCTCTAGCTCATCGTTGCCGAAGAGCTCTACGAGGCAAAAGGGGCGGCGAGCCCTGCCGGGAGAGGAGGGGCGCGCAATGGGAGTTCTAAGTCGCGGTCAAAACTTCAAAACTTCTCGCGTGCCTTTGGGGCTTCGGCGCCGCCCAGGTGTTTCTTGGATGCCTCTGGGGACTTGCGGGGGCCGCGCGCGCCAAATCCGAAGCCGTCGACAGGTTCTGGAGAACCCCTGATTCGCGCGCCTCGTGGGCCCGCAGCTGGCCGATCACATTGGGGCGAACGTGGAAGAGATGGCGAAATTGGATGTGGAGAGGGAGAGGCAGAGCAGGAAGCGAACGCGCAAGACGAGCAGCAGTCGACTGATGCGTGCTAGCTTGGAGGTGGCCTGGGCGTCGTTTGGGCGTTTCCAGGGATGATTTCCAATTTTGGCAAGATTTGCAGGGGGCCCGAGCGTTCGCGGCGCCGAATGGCCTAATTACAGCTGGCCAGCGCGACTAAAAATGCGTTGGCTCGGGAGATAAACTGGCGGCCGCCCAATGGAGCGGGGGCGCGGACGCGACCGCGATGAGGGGTTGCGGTCACGCTGCCGGGGCTGTCGCGCCGCCATGGCGGCGCGCCCCTGACCTGGATCGTGCATTCGGGGCGTCTTGGGTGCTCGTCGGGGCCTCGCGGCGAGTGTCTGCGGAGCTTTTGGAAGCCTTCAGTGGATCATAGATCGGAGGCCTCTGGAAGCCTCTCTGGGGACGCCGTGCAAGACGTGGGCGCGAGACCTCCCATGCGCTTCCGGGGGCCGATTTGGACGTTTCCTGGGAACCTTTTGGACGCAGTTGGGGAGCCTTTTGGGGCCTCTTGGGCCCTTTTGGGTGTCGTTTTGGCGTTATTTTCAGCTGGCTGGGGGCCCTCTTGGGCCGTCCTGCGGCCCTCTTGGGCCGTCTTCGGGGACTCGGCGGATTTTGTGCTCTCTTGGGGCGGCCTTTTTTGGGACCCTCTGGGGCATGTCTCGGGCCGTCTTGGGGCTCTCTTGGGCCGTCTTGGGGCCCTCTTGGGCCGTCTTGGGGACCTTCTGGGGGCCTCTTTGGCCGTTCTGGGGCAATGCTGTTTTTTGGGGGGGGGTCGTCTTCGACGTTGTTGGGACCGAAGAAGCAAGTTTCCCGGGCGGAATGCTTCGATGCGTGCCTATATTAGGGGCCCTCAGTGGGGCCTCTTGGGCCGTCTTGAGGGCCTTTGTGGCCGTCTAGGAAAATGTGTGGGCTCTCTTGGAGCGCCCGTAAGCAATGTCAAAAGTACCTTAGAGTTTTGGGGAGCGTCTTGGGCCGGTTCGGGGGCGTCTTGGGCTGGTGTGGGGGGGGGGGGGGGGGGGGCATTTTCGGTTGTCCGGGGGCTTTTCTGGCAAGCGCCCCAGGGTGTGGGAGCATCGTCGAAAAAGGGTGCGGGGGGAGGGTGGGTAGGCCATCGTGGGGGCTGTTCCACCCAGGACGTGTATATGTACGTATGTGTACAACTAAAATGTGCATACATGTGTATGTTTATGTATGTATGTCTGTATGTATGTGTACATATGCATATACACATATACCTATACATTTACATATTTATATATATATACACACACATACACATACACATACACATACACATACACATACACATACACATACACACATGTATACATACTGTACACATCGGAGGTGAGAAGGTGAGATCGAAGTGGAAAAGAGAGCCCCCTACCGGGAAATCGGTTTCGGTTTCGTGTTCGTGCGTGCCGTGCGTGCGGGCGAGGCGAAGCTGCGTGGGCGGGCGAGAAGAAAGTCTCCTGTAGCTGAGGCGCGGCCGGACCAAATGATTCCCTTCCGGCAACCCGTGCCGCGCGGTGTCCCGCCGGTGTCCCGCTGTGGCTGAGGCGCGGCCGGACCAAATGATTCCCTTCCGACGTCTGGTGCCGCGCGGTGTCCCGCCGGTGTCCCGTCGGTGCCCCGTCGGTGTCTCGATGATGATAATGATGATGATGATGATGATGATGATGATGATGATGCTGATGATGATGATGATGTCGATGATGTTGATGGTGATGTTGATGATGATGGTGATGGTGGTAATGATGATGGTGTCCCGATGACGATGGTGCTGACGATGCTGATGATGATGATGATGATCAAGATGTAGATGGGGATGGTTGTGATGATGACGGTGTCCCGATAATGATGATGTTGCTGATGATGATGTTGATGATGATGGTGATGGTGACGATGGCGTCCCGATGATGATGATGATGATGATGATGATGATGATGTTGACGATCATGATGATGTTGATGATGATGGGATTATGATGAGATCATGATGCTGATGAAGATGATGATGGTGTCCCGATGATGATGATGATAATGATGATGATGATGAGGCTGATGATGATGATGCTGTTGATGATGATGGTGATGATGATGGTGTCCCGATGATGAGGTTGATGATGATGATGATGACGAGGCTGGTGTCCCGATGATGATGATGATGTTGATGATGAGGATGATGACGAGGTGGTGATGGTGATTTTGATGATGGTGGCCCGATGATGGTGATGATGATGATGCTGATGTTGATGATGACGGTGGTGTCCCGATGATGATGATGGTGATGATGATGATGGTGTCCCGATGATGATGGTGTCCCGATGATATTGATGATGACGATGTTGCTGATGATGATGATGGTGTCCCGATGATGATGATGATGATGTTGATGATGTTGTTCATGATGAAGATGGGATGATGATGATGATGATGATGGTGATGGTGGTGTTCCGATGGTGATGGTGATGATGGTGTCCCGATGATGATGATGGTGTTGATGATGATGTTGGTGAAGATGATGGTGTCCCGATGATGGTGATGGTGTTTATGATGTTGATGTTGGTGATGATGTTGGCGAGGTGATGATGATGATGGTGTCCCGATGATGATTATGATGATGTTGATGATGTTGATGACGTTGATGAGGATGCTGTTGCTGATGATGACGTTGATTGTGAGATCGATTGTGGTATCGATAGTGGGATCGATAGTGGGACCGAATGTGAGATCGATTGTGATATCGATAGTGAGATCGATTGTGAGATCGGTTGACAGATCGATTGTGAGATCGATCGAATGAAATAGATCGAGTGATATCGATTGTGAGATCGATCGAGTGAGATTGATCGGGCGAGACCGATAGTGGGATCGATAGTGAGATCGATAGCGAGACCGATCGAGTGAGACGTTGGTTTCTCCCCCCAAACCTCCTTATCACCCGAAGGGTGGTCGTATAGGTATATATATATATTGGGGGGGAGAGAGAGAGAGAGAGAGAGAGAGAGAGAGAGAGGACAACACAACCTATAAACAGAGACAGAGAGGGACACACACTCAAACACACACACACACACACACACACACGCTCACACACACAGACACACACACACACACACGCTCACACACACACACACACACACACACACACACACACACACACACACACACACACACACACACGCACACGCACACGCCCGCACGCAATCACACACATACACACACTCACACACGCACGCACACACGCACGCACACACACACACACACACACACACCACACACACACACCACACACACGCACGCACGCACACCACACACACACACACACACACACACACACGCACGCACGCACGCACGCACGCACGCACGCACGCTCACACGCACGCACGCACGCACGCACGCACGCACGCACGCACGCACGCACGCACGCACGCACGCACCTCTCCCTCCCTTTCCCCATCCTCCTCCCCCGCTCCCCCCCCTCCCTTTTCACTCCTCCTCCATACCCACTCCTCACGTATCCTCCCTTCTTCCCTCCCCTCGTTCTCCCCCTTCTCTCCTGCCCTACCCTCAGGTCTGCCAGTTCGCTGTCGGTTTCATGTTCACCGTGTTGGCCAAGAGCAGGGAGCGCCAGGCCATGCCAGAGTGGTGCTGGGGATGAGAAGATACACCCACTTACCCTATTATTTTCTCGTTTCCTCCCCTCCCCCTGTCTGTCTCTCCCCTCCCTCGCTCGGTCCTTCCGCCCCCCCTCCATTGTCCCTCCATTGTCCCTCCCCCCCGCCCATACCCTCCCCCTCCCAATCCCCTTCTCCCATCTCCCTCCGCCGACTCCCTCCTCTCCCACCAGCCTTGGCCCTCTCATTCCCCATGCTCCCTACCCCTCCCCTGGCTCTCCGCTTCCCCCTTTTCCTCCCCGTCCACCCCTCCCTTGCCGTCTCCCTCCCCTTCGTCTCCTACTCCTCCTCCATGCTTTTCCTTCTGACTAATCCCCCCTATCGCACCCCACGACGTGTTGATATGGCGAGCCAGGCGTTTCGCTTGACATTTCTTCACCAGTTTTGATTTTGAAACTTTCCTTTGCAACCGGTTCTCACGGATTGAGGGCGGGTGTTTTTTTAATGTCGCTCTCGCTTTAGTGCCGCGCGTATTCGTCCTAAACGTTTGCAGATGATTCAAGGATGGAGAACAAGCGCTTTTTCAAATGTGGCTCTCGCCCCAGCGCCGCGCACATTCGTTTCAAACGTGCGCAGTAGCTTGAAGGAGGGAGGGCGGTTCCTTTTCAACATGTTGTTTTCGCTTTAGCGCCGCGCTCATTCATCTTGCAAGTTTGCAACAGTTTTAAGGATGGGGGCGGCTCCTTTTCCTAATGTGGCTCTCGATTGAGCGCCGCGCATTTCCGTGTTTCTGCACCAGCTTAAATTTTCGTATGGTTGAAGTCCTGGGAGTTGGGTTCGGGCGCAATCTAGGCGATGCACCATTCATGTGATTCGCGGTGTTGAAGTCCAAGGAACGATGTTTTGGCAGTTTACGACTGCCAGGACGCAACAGTCAAGTTGATTCGCGGCGCTGCAGTGCCAGACATTGCGTTTTGGCGCGATTGCGGAGTCTCTAACGGTTGTCTTCCAATGGGGCATTCCCCGTAACAGAAATATGTTTTTGCAGGGACCTATGAAGCGGAATTTTGGAGTGAGGGTTATTGCCGCATCGCTGGTGCGTCTTGAGTTTACACTGGTCCGTCTCCTTTTCTTTCCCCTCTTTCCCCCCTCCCCCTCCTTCCCTTCGCTTTGGAGGGGCTGGCGGTGCCCTGCGTGGCCAGCGGCGACTGGCAAGCGCTTCTAGCCTTGGCTCCTGCGGTCTCTCCCGCTTCTACTCGCTCGCTCGTCCCCCCTCCTTCCCGTCCGTTGCCGCACTTACTCCCTCCCTTATTCCTCTCTTCCTCCGTCCCTCCCTCCCCTCCCTGTTCCCTTTCCGCCTCCCTTGTCCTTCATTCCATTTCCTTACTCCCTTCCTTCCTTTTCCATACTCCCTCCCCTACTTCTCCCCACTTTCCTTCCCGTTCTTCGCCCTACTCTCTCACTTCTGGGTGGCATGAAGGGAGCGAGTCCAGAGGGAAACGGGTCTTAGGCCTGGGTCTTCCGGAGGCGTGTCCCGAGGAAAACGGGTCCTTGACCCTGGGGCCTTTCCCTGATCGCCCTTTCCCCCGCCTTCCCATCCTTTCCTCCCTGGGACTCCCCTTTGGCTGGCTGGAAGGAGGCGGGCCCCGAAGGAGACAGGCCCTGGAGCCCAGGGCCTCTCCTCAGGCCGCCTCTCCCAACAAGGGCCCCCCAAGACACGGCAAATTCGGCGATGCGTAGGAGCGCTCTCTCGGCAGAGTGTCGGTCCGACGCCCCATGTCGTAGCTCAGTTTCGTCCTCCATGTCAGTGCGGTGCTCGGGGCCAGAGTGTCGGTCTTGCCTCTGCTGCAGGGCCCTGGTCCCGTGTGAGGCTTGCAAGCCTTCTCAGAAGGCCGGACTTGCAAGGTACTCGACAGACTAGGCGGGCGCGCGTCGATTGTTGAATGATGTCGACGTGCGCCCGCGTGTGGTCCGCATGGTCTCATCTGACCGAGTGGCACAAACAGAAATTGTTGTTCTCTTGTGGTGTCAGCGAGTGCGCGCGCACAAGTTTCACCCAGCATTTCCAGCCGAAAATCAGCAAATAGTTGTTCATAGCTCTTGAGCGAAATATTTCAGCAAGATGGTCTCGAACGAATGTTGACATGTGCGCGAGCGCGTGTGGCCCGCATGGTGTTCTTCGATGCGGGTCCATCAGCAATGCATGTGTAGGATCACAGCGCTATCCCTAACAGCAGTAACGCACTACCGAAAAGGCTCCTCGACCCTATGTCGAGGGAGGTCGAGGAGGAAAGATGATGACTCAGATGATGTTGGCGCTGCGTGTGCGCACGCTCCGCTCCACGCCTTCCGCCACGCGTCAGCGGGCTCTGCCGCCCGCGGCCCCTCGACCGCGGGCAGAGAGCTTTTCGAAGGCCAACGGGTGGGAGAGGCCTGCAGGGCCTCCTGGGCGGGCCAGCTTGGCCCAGAAAAGCTAGAGCCCCAGAGGGGGAAGCAGGGGAGAGCAAGCAGAGGCAGGGGCAAGGACAGGAGAGGACGGGCCCCCGCATTCCTGGGGCCAGGGAGAGCCTAGCGTTTGACCAAACAACTAAGCTATCCCTGACAGCAGTAACGCACTACCGAAAAGGCTCCTCGACCCTATGTCGAGGGAGGTCGGGGAGGAAAAGATGATGACTCAGATGATGTTGGCGCTGCGTGTGCGCACGCTCCGCTCCACGCCTTCCGCCACACGTCAGCGGGCTCTGCCGCCCTCTCTCGGGCGCGCCTGGCAGCGGTCGCTGCCGGCGCACCCTCCACTGTGGTCTGGGGGCGCGGGCAGCCTGCGGCCGCCGGCACACCCAGGGTTCTTCGTGCGCCGGTGCCTACGCAGCGCCGGCGCGGGGTGCGGCCAGGCGGCGTGCGCTGCGCCTACCGCCGGCTGCACCCAAGCCCGCACCGCCGTCCCCTCATGATGGCACTGCAGTTGCGAATTCAGCGCCAGGCTGGCCGTGGGGAAGCCCACGGGCCTGGCCGCGCGGGGGGCACCAGCGTGGCCCCAGTCGCCCGGGCGCCCGGCCACCGCTGCCCCCGTGCACCGCAGCCCGCACGCGCACCGCTGCCCGCGGGCGCTCGGCCGCTCAGGGGCCCCAGGCGGCCCGGCTGCCCCACGGGCGCCCAGCCGCCGCCGCCAGCGCCTCGCAGCCCGCAGGCACCCAGCTGCCCGCGGGCGCTCGAAGCGCTACGCCTGGCGTCATGCGCCGGCGTGGCTCCGCACGCCAGGCCGTGGCCGGCGGCGGAGCACTCCATCCCTTCACCGATCGCCAGGCCATCGGCCGGCGGCGCCACTGCTCAGCCGTCTTGCGGCTCCTCCCCGTCTCGCTCGCTCGCCAGGCCTCTGGCTGGCGGCGCCACTGCTCAGCCGCGGTGCGGCTTGGCGGCCACCTCGCGCGTGACCTCGTCCCCGCGCTGGAAGCCCTGGTTCTTGTGGAGGTAGCGGGTGCCGCTGTAGTGCACCGGCCCCTGGATCCCCGCGTCGCAGTAGATCTTCTTGGGCTTCTTGGCCGTCCTCCTGTCGTCCTCCGTCGTCTCCTTCGGCGCCCCGCTCGAGCCCTGGGGCCGGCGGTCCCGCCTCGGGCTGCACCAGCAGTGCCAGGCCATCGCCAACGTCGTAGCCAGCACCACCACCAGTGAGATGATGACCTTCACCATGATCTCCAGGGGGATCGTGATGGTGATGTCCTCTCCGTCCGCTGCCAGGCGCGCGCTGACGTGCTTCTTGTCCTCCTCCACCACCGCCAGCTCCTGGCCGGCCGCCGTAGCCTGACCCAGTGTGGCCGCGGCCGCCGCTGCGGCCCCGAGGGCTGACAAGCCCCTGGGGGGGGCACGCCTGGCGCAGCGCCGGCGGCTCCCTCCTGGGGCTTCGCTGCTGGCGTCGTCAGCTCCGAGTGGTCGTTGGCCATGCGCCTGGCTACGTCGCGCTGCGGCTCGTGCGACTCCCCGAGGTAGGCGTGGAAAGAGTCCGACGCCCATCTCCCGTACCTCTGGACCTTGGCGAGGTCGTCCGTGACGTGGTACATCGCCGCGGCACCGCCGATCCTCAGGGAGCGGGAGCCGATCTCCTCACGCTTGAGGCCTGCCGCCAGGCCCGCCAGCGCGAGGAAGTGCTGCACCTCCTCGCGCTTCACGGGCGCGCCCGAGGCCCACCGGAACAGGGGCAGCCGCGCCTCCGCGCCGTGGTCGAAGCGCTGCGGATGCTGGGTCTGCATAGCCGCCAGGGCCTCGACGGGGCACCGCTGAGTGGGTGGCGTACTGGTTGCGCACCGTCCCCACATTGTACTGGTCCGTCTTCGAGCCCTTGATGTGCAGCACGCACTCGTCGGCCTGGGTGAACTGGCCGACGCGCTCCCCCTCGAGCCTCGCCTCGAGGTCCCCTCCGTGGACCACCCTGTCGACTGACCACGATCTCCCCGCCACCACCAGGTACTCCGACGCCCTCAACAAGAAGAAGAAGGCGAGGAGCACCGCGGCAAACAGCGTGGCAGCGTCGGCCTGGGACAACCCCGCATCTGCATGGATGTGCTGCTTGAGCCACAGCAGCATCCGCGGGGTGACCCGCCTCTTCCGCCTGCTGCTGGGCCCCTGCAGCCTTTTCGGGCCGGCCAGGGTCGTCCAGAGCCGCCCCCGGTGAAGCAGCGGGTCGCCGTGCCCGACCAGCAGGTGGGCGTACCTGATGGCGAACAGCTTCTGCTTCACCGCCCCTTCCGTCCGTGACAACGCCGCCGCCATGATGACCACGAAGTCGATCAAGGCGTCCTCGTCGCTGGTCTGCTCGCCGCGGTCCCGGCCCTGGAGTCACGGGCCCAGCCCTTGGGCAGCGCGGTGCGCGGTCCACTGCCGCCAGCCGCCCTCGCACCCGCTGCGGGTGCCCTCGCTCAGCTTCTGCAGCATCACCTCCGTGCGCAGGTCGCGGAGCCACTCGCCATAGTGCTCCCCACCCACCATGGGGTGGGCGGGTGGCACTGGCAGGCTCTCGCGCGTTCGCCCCAGGGCCAGCGGCTGGACCAGCTCCGGCGTCGCCGCGGTCCGCTCCTTGCGGGCTAGCCGCGAGCGGGCGCCCCGGGGTGGGCGAGGGCTGGCCAGGCCCGCGTCCAAACGGACCTCGTCGGCGGCCGGTGGGGTGGTTGGGCCGAGGATCGTGTTTTCGTCGATCTGCCTGAACCTGATCCTCTGGCTCCTGTGGCGCTTCTTGTGGATCTCTGTGGAGAGGGCACCTCCGGCCGCCTCCCTGTCCTGGCGCAGGACCTCTGCTGCTGGGTTGTCCGGGGCGATGGCCCAGGCCCGGAACCAGCGCTGCGTAGCCTCCCAAGCTGCCTGCTCCTCCGGGCCATGGCAGACCCCGACCTTCTCGGTGTCCACGTCCAGGGCCAGCGCGACTGCCCTGATCACCGTCTGAGCCGACTCCGGCGGCAGGGCCCGCACCGCCGCGCGGAGCAGCTCCTCGCTGGTGGCCCTCTCGGCTAGGTGATTGTCCCAGACGGCGTCGTTGCCGCCCTGGAGGCGCCAGATCTCTCGCGGCGTGAGCGCTTTCACCCTCCCCTGCGCGCTGCCGGGGATGTACAGCAGCGTGGCGCCGGGCCCCGCGGGCTCCTTGCCTGGCCACCGTGGGGTGCCGGCAGGGCCGTCCAGGCTGTGCAGCAGGTGCTTGACCCCCTTGATGGTGATGTGCCCAGCGGGCTTTGGCAACAGCGGGTTGCCGGTGGTGCGGATCTTGGGGTCAAGGAGGGTCTCCCCCTGGCCGTCCAGCTAGTCCCCGTCCGGGTTCAGCCCCAAGATAAATGCTTGACTCCGTGAGCCACGCGGCGTGCCGGCGGCAACTTTATGCTCGCCAGGCAGCTCGCAAAAGGGCCACGGCAGGCGACCAGCACCTTCCTGGTCCTCGAGGTGGCGTCCCCATGCTCGGTGCACAGGAGGTCGAGCGAGGTCAGCGTGTAGCCCAGCTGCTTGAGAGAGCGCTCGAGCTTCTGAACTGCGAGCCCCACTGGCGTGTCGGCGATGACCACGCTGGGGCGGCCCTGCCCCGCACGGACAAGGAGGGCCTCGGTCTCGAAGCCCCGCGGGCCCAGGGTCAGCGACGTGAGCACCCAGGCGGCTGCCTGCCCATGGCCAGCCTCGCGCCCTCCGAGCTTCACGAAAGCATTTCGATATCCTTGGAGCAGCCCGCCCAGCTTGATGCCGGTCTGGCCGGTCAGGGGGAGGCACGCCTTCGGTGTGGTTGGCGTGCGCAGGGCCCGATGCCGCAGGGCCGCCTCGGCCAGCGGCCCCGTCTCGCCGGGAATCCGCAGGAGCTTGTCCTGGGCGTCCCTAGCGATGGCGCCCCAGGCAGCGGGGGGCTCCAACCGGTGCCAGCCGGCCCTCGCGAGCTCGCTGTGCACTTTCTTCACCTCCTCTCTCGTCCGCCAGTCCGCCAACCTCATTGTGGTACGTGCGCACGTAGAAGGAGGTAAGCATGAAACCGTGCTCGGCCTAGCCTCTCGACCACGCGCAGCAGATGGCGGGCCAGTGCGTTCTTGGGCCGACGCTTCGTCAGCCACGACTTGACGTTCGCGTTGTCCGTCACGTAGAACACGAGTTCATCCGTCCACAAATGTCCCCGGCATGCGGCCAGCGCCACCAGCGCCAGCAGCTCCACGACCGAGATGATCCAGTCGTCTTCTGAACTCGGTCCGGTCACCGTGTTGCTGAGCTGCTCCAGCAGCGGCCTCGCCTCCGTGGCCAAGTACGAAGGTGGGCCAGCGGCGAGATTCTCGCTCGCACGGCCCCAGTCGACGGCTCCGATCGCATCCAGGGTCGCGTCGCCTCCGGTCCAGCGAGTCCGGCGTGCCAGCCCAGGCAGCGCCATCAGCCCGCGGGGGGTCAGCGCTTGGCTGAAGCCTGCCTGGAAAGACGTGCTCCAAGCCTCCGGCGCGTCGAACATCACCTGGAAGAGCTCCAAGGTGCGGTCCCACTCCTCCCACGCGGCCGCCACGGCTCCCCGGCGCCACACGCCGCCGACCTCCCCTCCGCGCGCGCCCGGCCACGGCCGGAAGCGGCGGCCCAGCCGCCCCCCAGCCGAGGGGCGCCCCGCGCGGCGGCATGGCGCGGCCGCGCTCGGGCGCTCCTGGGTCGCCCCGGGATCTTCCGGGCTCCCGGAGTGGGCCTCCGGGATGCCCTGGCCTCTGGGCCACCTGAGGCCGGCCCCCAGCTTGGCCCAGGAAAGCTTGAGCCCCAGAGGGGGAAGCAGGGGAGAGCAAGCAGAGGCAGGGGCAAGGACAGGAGAGGACGGGCCCCCGCATTCCTGGGGCCAGGGAGAGCCTAGCGTTTGACCAAACAACTAAGAGTGCTCCACATGAGGTGTTCGATTGTGTTTTTACGAATCTAAATTTAGGATGGGCGACCGAACAGAGAAAACACGTAAAGGAATACTCGCGGAGGTCAGCCGTTGAGTCCAGTCTCCGCAGAGAAGATCATGCCACGCGTGGTTCAAACCATGTGGTCCAACCTGCGTGAAACAACCCGTGCGGGGCAATCTAAGCAGTGCAGCACATGTGGTAACATTCGAGGTGCCATCTATGTGTTGCAAGCATGTGGTGGAATCTGCGTGGTGCAAACTATGTGGTGCCAGCAGTGTGATGCAAGATATGTGGTGCGAGCTCTGTGTTGAAAGCTATGCTGTGAAAGCGGTGTGATGCAAATTAGATGATGCAATGTATGTGGTGCAAGCTATGCGTTGCCACGTGTGTCATACAGGTTGTACACGTAGCAGTCTAGGTGGTGCAAACCATGCGGTGAAAGCTATGTCGAGCAGGCTGTGTGATGCAAACCACGTGATTCAAGCTATGTGCTGCAGGCCAGGGAGTGCGAGCTATGCGGTGCACCCAGCGCACGGGACGGTCACGACGCGACCACGGGCGGCCACCAACCGGGAACCGGGCGAAACCTCAGCACGCCCACCAATTGCGCGTGGGGCGGCCACGAGCGGCCACCAGCTGGGCAGCTGGCGAAGCCCCGACACAATCACCCGATGATTCTCTTGCACAGCTGTGTTCTAGAGCTCGGACCTCTTAATTCTCGTTCGTCGTCGTCGTTCGTTGGTTCGTCGTTCGTCCTCCCCCCCCGTCGTTCGTTCGTCGTTCGTCCTCCTGTCCCTTGCAGCTCCCTGGTGCAAGAGCCAGGGCACGCGTGCCACTTATTCCAGAAGGGACGTCAGAACCCATCAGCGCAAGCACCGTCTGGAGAATAAACGTAAACTGTCGGGAGGTCCGCGCGGATTTCTTGGATCGGCGCCGGACCCCCTCCCTGTCGCGCGAACCGCGCCAGGGGCGGCGCGGGGGGGGGGGTCCAGCGCCGATCCAATAAATCCGCGCGGACCTCCGTGAGTCTATGTTTATGCAGCTTGCTGCTGTTCTATTTCGCCGAGCCGAGAAGACCTCGGGACCCCGTTCTCTCCGTGGTGATTGCGTGCCCCTCCTCCTACTCCCATGTCTCCTCCGCATCGCCCACATCCCCCATCCTTCCCCCTTGCCCACTCCCCTTTCCTCGTCCTCCTCCTCCTCCTCCTCCCCGTGCTCCTCCTCATCCTCCTTCTCCATGTTGCAGGTTGCACGCTGCCAAGGGAGTCCGTGCTCTCCACGGGCCCGCAAGCGAGATCATCAGGACGTGGTCTGTTGGGGTGCTACTCCCACGGCCCGCGCGCAGTCCTCCTGCGAGCGGGGGGGCAGGGAGCTGGCCACCGCTGCAGCCCCTGTGGTGGCAGCCCTCGGAGAAGACGATAGCGTACCTTCTTCCCCGTGCGGGCATGAGGCTGGCACGGCTCTTTCAGCTGAAATGCTTTGGACGCGGATACCCTCCGCACTTGATGCAAACGACTACCCCACGGAAAACATGGAGGTGCGGGGTCTTGGTCGGGTGAAACGCTTGGGCATGATTAGGCGTGCAGGGCTGATCGACCCAACCCTCCTTGACCCCTATGACCTGATGCCGAAAGGAAGCCCTGGACCTGGAACCTCCTCAAGGACATGCTGCGCATGGTCCCACTTCTTGAGGGTCTGAAATACAGTTCTTTTCTTGGGAGCAGGGGGAGGGGCGGGGAAAACTTTTAAGATCAACTCTTATATGGCAGTGAGACGGGTCTGAACCAGGAAAAGCTCAAGGTCAGCATCTAAGAAGGGCTTGATCATTCATTCGGGGAGCTGGACTCACACAGTAATCACTAGCTATCTGGTCGGCTGACTGATTGTCCAGATAGGCTACGGCTGAGTATTGTCTTACCAGGAATCGAATTTGGTTGGGTGGAATTCGGTTTTGTAAAAATCCACCGTCCCGTCGAAGCCTTCAAGGGCCTCCCACAACGCCCGCCGGAGATCAACGTTGGAGAAGTGTCGCAATTCGGGCTCCCTAAGAACTCCTGCAGGACGTAGGCCGAGTCGGTCACGACCAGAATTTCCCCTGCTCCAGGGCCTGCATCACTGCATACAGCTTACTTCATTGATGGTCTGAAGGATCCGATGGTCTCGAGGTTGGAATATTTGACCCGTGCGCCCCAGCCAACTCTGCTCAACCGGTCCTTGTGAAAACGACCTCATCCAGCGTCGGTTCCAACCAAAAGTTTGCCTTTCATGGGGCCTCCGTGGATGAGAAATGTCTCCGTGGTTCCGATGATGTCTCTGTTCGGGTGCTGGTCCTCCCGTCCCGTGGTGAACTCAGCTGGCTGCCACCCGCGTTCCCACTTGATGAGGCACGAGGGAAATTCCTGAACTTCTTTCTGAACGGGATGTTGCGAGGCTGAAGCGGTGTCATCCTGACTGCGCTGCAGATCTGGGCAGGTCCAAAACCCATGAAAATGATCCTCTCCGGGCGCTCCACGCCTGCAACATCGGGCTGACCACCTCCGCCTCGACCTCCACCTCCTAATCTTCCGCCTCCGCCTCCACCACCTCCTCCACCACCTCCATCCACCTCCTCCACCGGACTCCCTGGCTCGTCGGAGCCGAGAAAGCCTGTGGTGTCTCTTCCGTAGCTATTTTGGCTCAAGGCACTCTGGCGCAATTGACGACCCAATCCAGCCGCAGCCACAGCCATGGCGGCTTTCGCGGTGGCCGGGGCCGCTCAGCCCTTCGCCGCGGGCAGCGCCCCCGCGGCGCAGCAGGCGCCAGCCCTCCGCGCGGCCTCGCTGCGCGGGTCGCCCACGCCGACTGCCGAGGCGTCGCCCTGGCTGCTCGCCACCGCGGCGGCGGGCGCCGCGGCCGTGGGCGCCGCTGCGGCCGCCGCGCCGCGCCGCCGCGCGCGCGCCGCGCCGCTGGCCGGAGCCTCGCGGGCGCGCGTGACGCCCGTGGCGTCGCAGCTACAGGAGCGCACCTTGCGGGGCGCGCGCGTGGTGGTCTGCGCCGGCGCGAAGCTCCCCGAGGGCCGCAAGCTGCGCGTGGCCGTCATCGGCGGCGGCCCGGGCGGCGCCTCGTGCGCGGTAAAGCTCGCCGAGGGCGGCGTGGAGACGTACCTCATCGAGCGCAAGCTGGACAACTGCAAGCCTTGCGGGGGCGCGATCCCGCTCTGCATGGTGGAGGAGTTCAACCTGCCGCCCCAGCTCGTCGACAGGCGCGTGCGCAAGATGACCATGATCTCGCCCTCGAACAGGGAGGTGCAGATTGGCCAGACGCTCAAAGACGACGAGTACATCGGCATGGTGCGCCGCGAGGTGCTCGACAAGCACCTGCGCGACACCGCGGCCGAGAAGGGCGCCACGGTGATCAACGGCCTCTTCATGGGCATGGACATGCCGCAGCGCGAAGGCGAACCGTACGTGCTGAGCTACAACGACCTCGGCGACCAGACGGGGGCCGCGCGCAAGGGCGTCAAGAAGACGCTGGAGGTCGACGTTGTGATCGGCGCGGACGGCGCTAATAGCCGGGTGGCCAAGGAGATCGAGGCAGGCGATTACGAGTACGCCATCGCCTTCCAGGAGCGCATGACCATCGACGAGAAGAAGATGGACTACTACAAGGAGAGGGCCGAAATGTACGTCGGCGAGGACGTGTCCCCGGACTTCTACGCGTGGGTCTTCCCCAAGTACGACCACGTCGCCGTGGGCACCGGCACCGTCATCGACAAGAAGGGCATCCAGAGGTACCAGCAGGGGATCCGCGACCGCGCTGCTCCCCGCATCGAGGGGGGCGAGATCATTCGCGTGGAGGCCCATCCCATCCCGGAGCACCCCCGCCCGTGGCGGACGAAGGGCCGTTGCACCTTGATCGGCGACGCGGCAGGCTACGTGACCAAGTGTTCAGGCGAGGGCATCTACTTCGCGGGCAAGATAGGGGAACGAACACGGACAGAAACATAAAAAACTCGGAGGTCCGCGCGGATTTCTCGGATCCGTGCTGGACCCCGCTCCCCGCGCGCTCCCCGGCGCGCGGAGCGCGCCAGGGGCGGCGCCGGAGGCGCCGCCAGGGGAGTCCAGCGCGGATCCGAGAAATCCGCGCGGACCTCCGAGTTTTTATGTTTATGTCAGTGTTCGTTCCCCTACAAGAGCGGCTTCATGTGCGCCGAGGAGGTCGTCAGGGCCTCCGAGAACGGCACCCGCATGATTGACGAGAACGATCTGAAAGTTTACATCCGCAAGTTCGATGAGCAGTATGGCCCCACCTACATCGTGTTGGACGCGTTGCAGAAGGTGTTCTACACCTCCGACGCAGCTCGCGAGAGTTTCGTTGAGCTGTGCGAGGAGGAGTACGTGCAGAAGGTCACCTTCGACTCGTACTTGTACAAGACTGTCCAGGGCAACAACCCGGTGGGCGACCTCAAGCTAGGCTGGAAGACGCTCACCAGCCTGTGGAACTACAACAAGAACCCCCCGCCCCCCATGAGGAAGCTCGAGGTGGCGTAGGCCGCCGCGCTCGGGCGGTGGCCCTGCCGCCACCGCGGCGCCCAGGCTCTCGCGTGTGGCGTAGACGTCGGGCGGCGCCGCGCGTGGCACCGCGGCTCTGCGCTCGCGCGGGCCGCGCGTGCGCTGCGAGCTGCGCGCGCGGCGCACCGCGGCCGCGGCCTGGCACTCTGCGGTAGTTAGAACTTTGCTGCGCGGTCTGTGCCGCCAGCACTGACCACTCCTCTGCTGTGCGGTGCGTCACGCTACCATTCGCTAGGCCCGTGTGAGCGCCATAGGTTGATCAGGGCGCGCGCTCTACAAGGAACGCGCCGAGTGGAGTTTTTGAAATAGTGTACACGGGGCGCTCAAATGCCAGGCGTGCCAGCACGACTCGTGTGCTTGCGACTCCTGTATTTACGTGCGACACATCGAGGCCACTTCCATGTGTCATCACAATACGGGTTTCATCGTCATCTGTTGGCCTCCAGCAGCGAGGGTAGGCGCAATTGCAACCGCTTGTGGTTCTCACGGTGCCATGGTTTATTAAATCGTTTCGCCCATTCCGCCTGCCCATTTCTCATCACGGTGGCTGCATGGTGGTATGCTCGTACCCATTGGGAACGGTGGGGCAGGCAGGACGATCCTCCAGGAGATCTTTGGACATGTGGCGCGCATCCTGTCGAAGAGAGCCGATCGACTGCCCCAGAGGGCGCCAAGATGGTTCAAGAGAGCTCCAGCAGAGTTTCGAGGCGTACCTGGATTATGGGTCAGAGTCCTGATGGATACTTCTTGGGGTCTCTTGTCTCTTCGTAGGGCTCTCGGGAGACTGTGGGGAGCAGTTTTGAGGCCTCTGGGGAGTCTCTTGGGGGCTTCTTGGGGGCCTCTTGGAGCTTCTTGGGAGCCTGATGGGGGTCCTGGGAGCCTCTTTTAGGGCCTCTTGGAGGCCTCTTGGCGGGCTCTTGGGTGCCTCTGGGGGCTTCCTGGGCGCCTCTTGGGCCGAGAGCTCGAAAAGTCTGTTCGGGTTCCCCCGCTGGGCCCTTCTTGGGGCCAGCCCGGGGCCGCCTTGGAGGCTTCTTGGGCCGTCTTGCAGCCATCTTGGGCCACGTAGGGCCCTCTTGGAGGTTTTTTGTATTGTTTTGGAACGATCTTGGGGCTTCTTGGGGCGTCCAGGGCGGTCGGCAGCTCGAAAAGGCGGTGCCGCCAACATCGTCCAAAAACCTTTGCAAAATCGATGTTTTGGAACCCTCTGGAGCGTCTTGGGCGCTTCTTGAGCCGTCTTGGGATCAATGTTGGGCATCTTGGAACGCTCTTGGCCTGAGGCCGTGGGGAGAGTCTAAAGTGAGCTGGGGACACAGGTGAGCGGAAGCGAACGTGTGCCCGCGACTTCTTGGCTCAAGCGGCCAGCCGCCCAAATGTGACTGCCTCATTGTGAAGCATACTATTCGCCATCGAGACCAACAGGATCTTCCTACTGCTTAAGATGGCACAACCTCTCCTACTGGGACTTTCGTTGCTACGGTACAACAGAGCTGGAGCTCGGTTTCGCCTAAGGCGAAGCTGCTGGTTGGGTCTCCCAACCCCCTTCAAACTTGGTAGCGGAGCTGGCCTATGGTGGTCATCGCTAGCTCTACTCCTCGCCATCCACGGCAGTATCTGGTGGACTACAGACGTGATGGAATATCAGGGTGCAGTGGGGCTGCGCGAAGGAATGTACATAACTACGCAGTATAGCAATGGCACTTGCAGTGATACCTCCGCTTATGCGGAGGCCTCTTACTTTCGCCTTACATCCTTGCGCTGCTTTACTCCTGAAGTCCACCCACCTACTCCAAGTGGAAACTTCTTCGAAGACATAATGCATGGAAACATGCGATACGATACGGCTCCGCCTCCACCCCCACGCAGACTTACGACTACACACCGGAAGCCCCGACCGACTACATCCGACTACGACCTGCGCGGCCGTTGGATTGGCGTTACTATCTTTGGGCTCGCATGGGTCGCTATCGGGCGGGCGGTAGGACACATGCGTGGCGGAGGCGACACAAGAACGACCAGCCCTCATTGGGACCCAGCCGGTCAGGTACCTTTTCGCGAATTCGTCCGCGAGATACATGCCTGGATCAACGTGACCATAGGCAACATGACGCCTTCCCAACAAGCTGCAGCCATGCAGCGAGGTTCGGGAGGCCTCGCAAGGACCATAGCCATGAGAGTTCTCCCAGCAGTCATCAGTTTTGGCGTTAATATAGTTGGCCGCCGTACCGACGGCGCCACCTACATCATGTTCCTCTTAAGCACGAAGTTCGAGAACTTACAAGAGGAACGCCAACTCAACTCTGGTACAGCTCTCATTGACTTCCGAGTCCACGCGGGAGAACGAATCGACCAGACGTTGGCATGCTTCGAGACAGCACGCTATGAAACTGAAACGGCAGGCTTTAACATCCCCAACTTCTAAATCTTAGCAGTTTTTTATTCAGAGCTCTTGGAGTGGGGACATCGCGTGCACAGCAACTCCTGCAGCTTCTAAACCACCACATGCCGAGAGACCAGCAACAGTTTGACGCTCTACTCGAACGCATGAGGTCATATGCACACAGTCCTGAGAGAACCCCTGGCAATATTGGTGGTATTTTCAGTCACGGTCACCGAATCGAGACCTTTCCCGTTGAGGCAAACGCAGGGCAACCTGCGAATAACGTTTGGAATGATGATCCAGCAAGACTCCTGGGCCGGGCTTCGGGGGCCGCCCGACGCGGTATCCCCTGCGCAAGCCATGGCCTTAATGGGCTCAGCGGGGCAACCTGCCGATTCCGATTTCGACTCCGGTACTGATACCGATGCGTCTTCGGACGACGAGGTCACAGCCCTTGACTACTCCGATATGCCTACATACCTCACGCAAAAACCAACAGGCGCAATGGTTATTCTTAGGATACCAGAAACATCAGCGCAGATGGAGGCGATTCATGGAGAAACGAGTCCGCAAGGTACGGCGCATCGTCCGACGAGCACCCAAGGGAAAAGGCAAAGGTCGAGGTAAGGGTAAAGGTAAACGTCGGCGGTTGCACGGCAGAGGCACATTAGCATTCCTAGCATCCCTTACCGGGCCACAGTGTGAAGATATATTTTTAGGTGCAGGCAAAAATCGCAGGCGCACATCAGGAAAAGGTCAGGGACGTTGAGGAAACCCGAAGGATGCCAACGGAAAGACTATGGAGTGCGACGTAGGCCATAGCACGCAGCACTCTCGCCGCGAATGCCCTGAGGGCGATGGGAGAGGCAGGGGTCCGTCGATGCATCTGGCTCAAACTGACTCTGACATGCAGTGCGTTGATTGGGGGTCTCTTCTAGCTGACCCCGCCGATGGCTCAGCTGCAGTTGTGAATTTCATGGCCCCCAGATATTTGAGCGCCAGCATGTCCCTCGAGAATTGCGCCGACGAGCTGTTCGAGGAGGTATTCGCTGGCCACAATGGTATTGATCTGGCAGACTGGCTGGGCATACCCACCGCGGGACAACTTGCAGATATTGAATTTGTCGAGAACTTCCTCATGCCCGCCGAAGGAGATGCCGAAATGGCGGGGGCACCCTCGGATTCAGAAGCCACTATTCCTGCGACAGAAAAGGAACAACAGTTGATGCTTGATCCTCGGGTCATTGGAAATCCGACAAACATGCAATTGAGTGATGATGATCCTTTGCGGGGAAGCCCGCGAGACGTTAGCGATTTGTCCGGGTGCATTCAACGTGAGGTCGGCCACGGCGATGGATTTCATTCTACACATTTGTCACTTCGGACCGCTCTATGAGCCGCCGGGGGCGATCGGCAAGCCGCCAGCTCTGGGGGGGGAAGTGTCGCGCCGACGATGATGACGAAGAATGGGAAGATAATGATCGTCTGGCACGTCGCGATCGGATACCCAGTCGCTCACCCGACAGCGCGCGCGCGCTCCAGCGGCGCTCGGTCTAGCGGCCTTCAGCGCCCTCATCTTCCTGAGCGGGAGCTCCAAAGGCCCCCCCATGGCGGACCAATAGACCCGACTCCCCCCCGAGGAAGGAGCGTCTGCGGGGACACCCGCCTCAAGAAGATCAACCTCAAGAAGAATGTCCAGAGGACGGAATGCAGCGCCTTGCCGGCTTCTCGGAAGCTGGATTGGCTCGTCAGTGCATGCGCCCAGGGAAGACGCAATATTGGTTGAACAAGGGTTGGACTGAGCACCGGATTCGTCGCTGGCATTCTCCTCGCAATCTCGAACGAAATGAAAAAGGCAAGATCGTCTGCTCAACGAGGACAGGACCGGTCAAAACACAGGAAAAGCTCATCCGGTGCGACCTCAAGAGGGCCATCGTCGGGGAACGAAAACTTTACCGAGGCGTTGTTTGCACGTGCCCCGAATATGCCGACCACAGGCTTGGCTGCCCCATGAGACGCCCATCAAGAAGCCCGAACTTTAAATGGGCACCGTGGGTTTGGTCTCACGGCGATGGTCGGGGCCATTGCACCGATCCTAATTCAACGCCGTAGGAGGAGTAGTTGACGGAAAACGATTACGAACCTGCTACAGCCGAAGAAACATTCCGAGCTATCAGGGTATGGAAACACCTCTCACCTTTTCATTATTTGAATACATTCAATCGTGAGTGGAACGCGGGGAAACCTGCTTCACCCAAATCAGAAGAAGATGATCAACAAGAAGCTGATGAATATGGAGTTGATGCGATGGCCGAAGAGGAAGACCCCGCGGAAGCAGTCCGCGAAGGGTACGACTCGGACAGTTTCACTGGCGCGGACATCACGGGCATCACGTACGATACGGGCACCCCTATCGATCCAAATTACGCCGTCACAGCAGAAATTGATCTTTCTCCAGAAAGATGGATTGCCTACCGCGCTGGAGGTGCAGGCTGGGTAAAGACAAGAATAAGACGGAGGCTTAGCTCTACCAAGCATATCTTGTCCGGGAAGAAAAAGGCCATTATCTGTAATCTGGCACTCGAAGCGCCTGACGGCATAGACCTGAACCCTGGCAGAGGGCCCGTGCGACATGAGCCATGGTTACCTGCAGGAGCAACAGCAGA